TTAGAATGTTTGATTTTAAAAATTGCTGATTGGGTGCTGGAGAGATGACTCAGCTGTTAAAAAGCACTTTCTGCTCATCCTGAGGACTTGGGCTTGGTTCCCAGCACCCACATGATGGCTCAGAATAATTCCCTACTCTAGTTCCAGGGGATGTCATGCCCTTTCCTGGACTCTGGGGCCACCAGGAACACACAGAGTGCACATATACACATGTAGGCAAAACACTCATTAAATAACTAAACCTAAAACAGTTTAAATGCTGTTTGATGCTGGGCATGCCTACAATCCCTGCACTAGAGAAGCAGAAGCAGGAGGCTCAGTTCAAAGCCACCCTTGACTACACAGCAAGGTCAAGATCAGGTAGGACTTCATGAGTCCCTATCCCCAAACACCAGAAAGTAAAAATAATAAATAAATGAACCTGCTGTTTGCAGTTTCATACAAAGAAGCACTAGATGAATTTTGGCTTGAGATTATTAGGACAGAATTTCCCACAATTTCTGAAATTCCTCTAAACATATTTCAGCCATTTTATACTACACACCTATACAAAGTTGTATTCTTGGCATTAGCAATTGATTAGAAAATCAAAATACTGTGCGACTCTGAAAAATGAAGTTGCTCTTCATTGGATATCCAGCTCTCCTGTTAAAAATAAGCAGGCAGAGCCTTCTCATTACTATGTCAATTTGTACCCATCTTCAGTAAACTGTAAAACTGTATGCAATACCAAAGGATTGTTTTAAATTAGATGTCATGATTTATCAGTAAATGTTTGATTTGTATCCTTTTTATCTGCCTTGGCTTGAGTTCAGTTTCTCAGGTGAAAAGGGTAGTGAGTAGGAATTGTTAAAGAAACACAGCTGGATGCTTGTAACACTAACTACTAACTTTTCAAAATCACTATCATAATATCTCTCCATTGACTTAGAGCTCATTCCTTTTCCTTCAGCATTTGAGTAGTTTTCAGTATACATGGACAGATTTTATTAGAGGTATTCTATATTGGTGGGTTTTATTAGCATTATGAAAGATACTTCTGAAACTTCTATTTTATGGGTAGTGTATGAGATGGAAAACATGGTGTCCTACAAAACAACAGAACCCATTGTCTGGCTCAGGTGGGTTCTGGTGCTTTCTGTGGGATTTCCTATGTAGACAATGGTGTGTCTAGGACAGATACTGCTTTACTTCTTCATTTGCTATCAGTATGGCCTTTATTTCTTTTGCTCAGCAGTATTGCACTGTGTTGATGTAGAATAGCGTTCTTTCATTATGTACAATGTTAATCATAAAGTGTAAAACCTGACACTAGTATTAATTCATCTACAGATTTTCTTTTTTTAAAAAATTTTATTTATTATGTATACAGTGTTCTGTCTGCATATATCTCTGCAGGCCAGAAGAGGGCACCAGATCTCATTACAGATGGTTGTTCACCACCATGTGGTTGCTGGGAATTGAACTCAGGACCTCTGGAAGAACAACCAGTGCTCTTAACCTCTGAGCCATCTCTCTAGCCCAATTCATCTACAGATTTTTAACAAGAGATTTTCAATTCAAAATTTTATGGAATTTTTTGTCATGAATAAATGTTTTGCTACAAAAGAAGGAAGGAGAGAGACAGAAAGGAAGGAAGGGGGAAGGGAGGAGGAGAAAAGAAGGAAAGAAAGAAAGGAAAGGGAAGAAAGAGAAAGGAAGGAAGGAAGGGAAGAAAAGAAAAAAGACAGACAGCTGTACAAGGTGATGTCAATATGGTTTGCCCATGGGGTGGGGGGACCGACCTTAAAGAAGTCAAGATATTAACCAGATTCTGTGAGTAAGGATTCTATTTAAGAGAACAGGGGCTGGGGGGGATGGCACAGCAGGCAAAGCACCGGATGCACAAGCCTGATGCATCCTGAATCTGCCATCTGAGCACTCAGCCTGAGATGGGAAGTACAGACAAAAGAATCAGCCATTAGCTCATTGGCTAGCGAGCCTGGAGCAGAGGTTAGCAAGTCAGCTTCTTCAGTGTATGTTGTCCTTGAATAATTTCTATTTTAATGTAAGAAAAGCCACCTCTCCACTGTCCCAAGGCACCACATCCTTACACCCCTTAGATCTTGTTAATCCTTTATCTATTTTCTAAACAGCAGCCCCCTTTCCAACTGTAACATCCACAAAGTGACTCCTGATGATGATTAAAGAATCATTTCACTTTCTACACTGTGGCTTAAACAATATGCTCGGTTCCCACATATGCTCCCACAGGTGAAAATGGGCACATTCACCGAAAGCAAGCCAGCAATATAGAGCCATCTTTAAACTGTGTATGCATTCCAGGGGCCTGTCTTCTCATCTAGCAACAGACCCTAAGGGTAACAAGTCGGCTAAGGACAACTACACAGATTTCTCCATACTAACAGCCTGGCAACTAAGACACCAGTGATTTCCTGTAGATGGCAAGGGAGTTACTACTTTCCACTTGCTGAACTTTTATTTCTCTCCAGGTCAGAGACAGCCTTTGCAACAAAGTGAACACACCAATGTCTAGCATGAGGCTACGCTTATTTCTTTTGCACATGTGCCCACTATTCAGAAATCACCTTTTTAGCTTTCTGAAACAGTCGTTAATTCATGAGTGTAGGGGACAGTAAGCCACACCTGTTAGAGGCTGGCTACAGGTGTGCCTGACCACGCCTGTCAAGACGTGGTCAAGGTGAGGTCAGGATGACAGGGCATGGGCTCTTAAGGGGCTGCAGAGCGCATGGAAGCCCCTTCTTCTGCCCCTTCTCTCTGGCCTCACTGCTTGGCTGCCCCTGACACGCTCTGGCTTGCGTTTGGCTGGCATTTATCTCAAGATAAAGATATCTTGACCTTACGGATTACAGATTGTCTCTTGGGTCACACTATAAGTGGCGATTCAGAGGAATGAGACCTGGCAGATGGATGTCTTTCACTTTACAGAATTTGAAAATTTGAAATATGTGCATCATACTATTGACACATTCTCAGGTTTCCAATTGGCTACTGCTCTCAACTCTGAAAAAGCTGATTCTGTTATAACACACCTGCTAGAGGTGATGGCAGTTATGAGTATACCTGCACAGATAAAAACTGACAATGCTCTGGCATATGTCTCCACAAAAATGGAACAGTTCTTCAAATATTATAACATAAAGCATGTCACTGATATAGCCCACAATCCTACAGGTCAAGCAGTCTTTGAAAGATCTAACAGGACACTTAAGGAAATGCTCCATAGACAAGCTGGTAAGTCAAAATCCCCCAAACATAGGTTGCATAATGCTTTATTGACACTAAACTTTCTTAATGCCAATGACAAAGGACAAACAGCTGCAGAAAGACACTGGACTACGGAAAAAACTGCTGAACTGAATCAACCAGTATACTTCAAAGATGTACTAACCTCGGTATGGAAGCCTGGACATGTGTTACGTTGGGGTAGGGGTTTTGCATTTGTTTCCATAGGAGAAGAAAAACTTTGGATACCATCAAAGTTGATCAAGATTCGAGTTGAAAAAGACAACCCTCTCGACAAGGACGAGTGACAGGTATTTACTGAGGTATATCTCATAAACTAAATAGGAACCTCCCAAAGGAAAGGGAAGTGTTTGCTTCTATCTTCACAGGAAAACTCATCTCCAGAAGTCCAAGAACACTACATGGGTAGATGCTTAAGAAGAGAAGGTAGCTATAACCATCAAACAAAAGGAATGTGCCATACAGTAAACTTTACAACTGTCTCTCAAATAACTCTATTTCTCCTTATTTTCTAGTCGCTATTCAAGTAAATCAATGCTGGATTTAGAGTTGGATTTGGCTTTCCTCCCCTAAAATCCAAGCACGTTGTTTAACTAAACTTTAGAGTTTCTGTATTAAATCAAGAAGCCAATTGATGTAATACAGAATGAGAAAGGAATTTGGGGACTGTCTTTGACTTTCTTGGCTCTTTCCTTCAAGGTGTACACTGTCTCACAATCATTATTTTCCACTACTGCCTTTTCCAGCATGCATACATATACAAGCAAATATTTCTCGGCTAACACTTGTGTTTGAGTCCCACACAGCCAATGAAGACCCGCCTAACAGCAATCCCTGGAACGCTCCGGAAAAGGAATTGGGCCATACCTCCTCGACTGCACTGGATCCAACTTACTCCATTTCAACTGACACTCCGACCAGAGCTTTGAGTACTGACTTCAATCAAGTTGAGGATTTCAACCTAGATCTTCAATCAAGCAAATCCTATCTAACATGGACTGGATATAATGTTAGAGATTTTCACTATACTAACATTTTCTTCCCACACGACCCCACAAGGCTACCATCATCCCATTTCAGCAGGAAGTAACTTGGAGGATGCTACCCCCCCACCCCGCCCCCCATTATTGTCTATTAGGGTAGTGTAAGCCTAGTTAGGAATAACTTTCCTATTGTTTAGGGTTGGGATTGGAAGGAGGTGTTCAGGTTTGGACACCTCTTTCAGATGACTTTAGGGTTTAGGGGAAATAGACATGGTTAGGATTGTTAATTTTGGATACTTTATACTGTTAAAGTTTTAATCCTCTTTTAGACTAAAAGGGGAATTGTAGGGGACAGTAAGCCACTCCTGTTAGAGGCTGGCTATAGGTGTGCCTGACCATGCCTGTCAAGGCACACCCTTCTCCTGCCCCTTCTCTCTGGCCTCACTGCTCTGGCTTGTGTTTGGCTAGTATTTATCTCAAGAAAGATATCTTGACCTTACAGATTAAGGAATGTTTCTTGGGTCACGCTATACATGAGTCTAATAATATTTAGCTCTTTTGCTACAATTGTTGTTGAACTGCGGTGAGACTGGACACGTTCAGCTCCCGAGAGAGTCAGATTGAAAAAAAGAATGACTTATAGAACATGACAAATTAATAGAAGCACCATTTCTTTTTTAAGATCAGAAAAAAAAGTATATTCTCTGAAGTTTCAAATAGTTACTTATTTAAAATTTATGAGACCAGGGCAACAAGACAATGCAGCAGAGACTTTAATAAGAATACAAAATTCACACCAGAGGCACACTCTGGGGAATGTAAATAACCATCACAAGTAGCTATTCTGCTTGAAGAATAAAATAAGGCTCTCTCAGAGTACAAATATACAGGAGGGAATGATTTAAAATAGGTTCATGACTTATAATCACATTACATTGTATTAAGCACTCAAAACAGGCATATTAGTAAAAAAGCCAGCTAAAAGGCATTTGGACATATATAACACATTGTACAGTCTATAAAATTTACATACAACAGTAATTTTAAGTACTTCATTTCAACAAAATAGAAATGAACAGGTAAAGTGGTAGCTCTCCAAATACTCATTTATATGTGTGACAAAAGTCAAAGGAACTTTACATTTAAACAAGGAAACCCCCACAGTGGACAGACCGTCAGCATTTATAAGACCAACATTGCTGCACAAATAAAACAGTACTGGTCTTTCCTTTCCTATGACCTCCACACGCTACAATCTTTTCATTATTCAAGTGGGAAAAATTCTCCCATAGTTCCATTCTTCAAAAGGAATCAAGAGAAACCAAAGACTCCAAAGTTGGCTTCACCATCCACCTCAAGTGTGGTTTTATGAGGACAAAGAATACCAACATTTACTGTGCTCCTTTGCAAAGAACAGACATATCCAACGTTATCCGGAGGGGTTTCTTCATGGATTCTGTACAATGGTTGGACAAGAATCACTGCATCTGAGAAGGCACGTATCTGTGATTTAAGGCTTAACTGGTACAGTCACACATGGAAGTCAACGAACATAGTCTGGAAATTCTCTTCTACCAAAATGGAATTTACCCCCAAACTGGCTTTCTAATCTACAAATTTCTACTCTATAAACCACTAAGAATTTCCATTCCTATGACCACATGTAAAAACAAAACAAAACAAAACAAAAAACAAAAAATATCCACCTCTCTTAGGCAGGTTTCATTGTAAATCAAAATTTCTAACACAACTGTCAAATTCATAAGTTTAAACATGTTATAGAAATTATGACAGTGTGATTACCAGGTCTTTAAAAATGTCTAAACAAAATTACAGTGGTACAGATTAATTTTTAAAAGGTATCTACCACAACCTATGAGCCAATCATTCATTCATTCGAGGTACCCCTTCTGTGGATGCTGCAGGATGCCATATAACTTACTCTGGAAAATAGCTTTTTTTCTTTAAGATAATACACGGACATGAACTTCTTAAAGATGTTGGATATATTCATATATAAAATATCTGACATTGATACAAATCATGTAAACCTCCCTTGGAAAATTATACCCGGTCCTCATTTCTAGGACCAGAAGCCTTGAATTTTTATCTTATCAGTGCAAATCTATATTAAATATTTCAAATTATAGAAATAGCCATTAACCTACACAATACAAAAAGGATTTCTCAAAAAAGAAAATTATTATGTTTAGAATTATAGAATTATGTTTACATAAAAATCACCCACCTTCTCATCAAATTTAACAGCTCAATTGTTAGGGTACGAAAAGGGAAAAATAAAAGCTATCTGTGCAAGAGCCACTTCCCCAATAATTCTTACTAGTTTACAGTTAACAATATACTGTTCTTTTCCAGGTGAATTTACTGTTCTTCAAGCCAAGACGGGGCATCCACTCCTGGGGTTTTCAACTTGACATGGAACTGCTTAAGTGTCAGTTCAAGCTGCTTCTGATTCCCAGCGAAGTAGGCAGCAACAGCACTGTGGAAAAGGACCAGCTGATTGCGCAGCACTTTAACCTGTGGGCAGGGTGGAGGGAAGGCCGAGCATTAGACCACACGGTGAGATTCACCACATCCCTAATTCAGTGTCACCAAAGAAGCTATTCTAATAATAAAATCCACAAACACCAAGTACATGATGTCTGTTGAGGTCACCAAGCTCTTAGTGCTTTTTCACTACTTCAAGGGGGCAGGTCAGCTTAGGATGTTTTGTTTTTGCATTGCTGAGGAGCAAATCGAGGGACCTGTATTTGGCTGGGGAAGTGCTCTACCTAGGAGCCAATAGCCAGCCCTGGTAATCATTTCCAAACGACATTATCGAGACTATTAACTAAAAACACCACCATATTCCCCCTGGGACTAAGTATATTTAAAGCTGTGTGAGATACAGAGAAGGGAACATTATCTTACACACTCCAGTACAACACTAGCTCCAGGTATGGGCAGCATTAAGATTAAGTTTGGGTGGTAGTTGTGCACACATCTAATCCCAGCACTCAGGAGGCAAAGGCAGGTGGATCTTTGTGAGTTCAAGGGTAGCCTGGTCTATAAAGCAAGTTCCAGAACAGTCAGAGCTGCTACACAGAGAAACCCTGTTTCAACAACAACAATAACAGAAAGACTTAAGTTTTACATAAATCTGGGTAGGTTGAATACTTTTAAATTTATATACATATAATTTTTTAAAATTTTTAAAAAAGAAATCAAATAGCAGCAAATGTTGCCCAGAAACTCAGAACACATCAAAAGTGTTCTTAGATTTATTTTTGCGCTCAAGTGCACGTGTGTGTGTGTGTGTGTGTGTGTGTGTGTGTGTGTGTGTATAATATGGATACCCTGGAGTTGGGGAAGCCAGAAGAGGACTCCAGACGTCCTGGTACAGTAGCTACAGGCAACTATGGGTGTTGGGAAACTAATTCCATTTTTCTAGAGGAGCAGCAAGTACTTGTAACCACTGAGCCATCTACCAGACTCCCAGGAGTACATTTTAACCAAGTAATGCTACACCTATGAATCTTTCTTGATGAAATACTTCAGTTATCATAAAGATTTATGAATTGAGTTGTTTCCTGAGGTTTTATTATAAAATTCATTCTGACTTATATATTCAGTGCAATATCACCCAAACTGAAATTCCATAATTTTAAAGATGCAAAAATACCTAAAATACGACACTAAGTGCATAAATAAAATGTAAAATTTCAAATGTGATATAATCTGATCTGCTCTCAACTGAATCTACCACCACTATAGCTGATAGCTTCCTATCAGTATCTGGGTTTGATCCCCAGACACACACACACACACACACACACACACACACACACACACACACACACACACCTTTTATGAAAATGAAAGGTAAATATGTAAAAAGCTTCATTATAGAACATATAAAGAATTCAGTAAGATGCTAACACCCTCATACTCAATAGGGAAAAGATTGAATAGATATTTTATCAAGAAGTAAATAGGCTAAATAAGCACATTAAAAGTGTCCTATATCTTAAATTATCAGGAAAATCTACATTTTACACTTTACATTGTGACCCCACCACTAGTAAAGATGCAGAGTGACTCTACTTCTCCAGCCCGAGTTTGTGAAATTGAAAAGTCTGTCAGTTTCTGAACAGTTAAACATATGATTAACCTGTAATCTAACTAATCCACTCCCAGATACTTACCTGAGGGGATGAAAACCTAGGTGAGTACACAAGATGACTTACACAGGGAGGTTCAGGGTCAGGCTGGGTTAGAATTAGAGTCAGGGGCTGATTTACTTGTGATAGCTTCAAAGTAAAAACAACTCAAATGTCAACCAATAGTAATTAGATGAATTGGGGTATTCTCATAAAAAGGAGTGATGTTAGAAAGAAACTAACAGGTTACATGCAACATGGCTGAGTTGCAAGAACCCTGTGTTCTATGAAAGAAACTAGAAAAATGCAGGTTGCTTGACTCCATTTATATAAACTTTACAAAGTGCAGTCATCCTCTTCCTATGGCTTTCACACTAGTGACTACCAAGGGCTCAACTCTCCTCCTTGCTCTGCTATTCAAAGTACTACTTGGCCTGTTTTTGCATTTCTATTTTGGATGATCCTTGAATTACACAGCAAATAAGGGGCTGATGTATTCTGATTAGGAAAGTCCAACTTCTACAAGGAAGTTCTAACTGGTCACTTGACTGTTGTTTTGCCCACAAGTATTTCTTGACTTGAAATTTAACTCCTAATACTTTCAGTGAAAGAGAGTAGAGGAAGAGCACAGAATCTAAGTCATGGGCTGAACTTGTGAAGAGCTGAACCAATGGCACCAGGGAAAGGGAACCACACTTGAAGTTTTCTAGCTAAGCCACAGCATGACACAAATCAGCTTCTTTCCCCAGCCTTGGAGGTGGCAACAGACTGAACACAGGAGCCAGCTGGAGAAGAGATGGCGGCTCACAGGGCAAGGACTGGGGCATCCGCTGCTCCGGCTGCTGCAAACCATCTCCATCCCACAGTGAAACTTAATCCATGCAGCCACAGAAAGGGGTGCTTTTTAGGACTGAACTCTAGTTGTGTTTTCACAACAAAACAATATGATACCCACAGCCACAAAAACAGCCTCCAAAACTCAGGAGGTTGATGTGTAGAGTCAGCTAAAGAAAGCACTTGGGCATCCTCCCTGAAGGCAGCCACAACAGTGAGAAGCTTTGAAGCTGAAATGGAAAAGGACACAAAGCAAAGGGCCTCCCAAATGTAAATAAGTATAAACTTCCATCCTCACTTTACACCACAAACCAGTTTTTCCTCTAGCAGTTTTAATTTTTTTTTTTTTGTATGCCAAAATAGGTCAAATTTTTCTGCCAACACTGAGTATTCTAACTTAGAAACATGTTTAGTTTTGGTGGTAATGCCTTAAAAATCAGACACAAATTTAAATAAAAACCTTGATGGACTCAGTACCGCTGTGTCTGGTATGTTAGACTATTGTGGTTATTAAATAAAGAGAAACCTGGGCTGTGAAGATAGCTCAGTGGGAAGAGTACTTGCTGTGCAAGCATGAAGATATGGGTTTAAAACCTTAAAAACCTATATTAAAAAGAGAAAGAAGGAAAGAAAGAAAAGAAAGCATATGTACAAGGTTGTATGTACACCTATAACCCAATTCCTGTGGGGAGTCAGACAGGAGATCACTGGGGTTTGCTGCACCCAGCCTTGCTTCACACTCAGTGAGACACCTTGTCTTAAAGGAATAAGGAAGAGAGCATACAGCAGGATACCTAAGGTCTTCCTTTGGCCTTTACATGCACGGGCAGCCTCCACCCACATGCTCATAAATAAAAACCATTATCAAGTAAAAATAGTAATTAAGTAGTATTAGAAAAGCAGTTGTAAACAATTTTAAAATAATTAACTTTTACAAAATTTTACTACAGGCTGAACAATTCATTTGAAAACAAAAGTCCCAAACACTACAAAATCCACATTTTAATTACTGATTATGTCACCAGTGAAGTCCCATGCTCGACCTCATGTACGATCCAAATGCAGGGCCACTGAGTGGTATAGGAAGTCACCTTCATGCTACATGTATAAAGGTATATATGAAATTTGAGCAAATTCTCTGTTTAGAATTGGGTTCCTTCAGTGTGTGTGTGTGTGTGTGTGTGTGTGTGTGTGTGTGTGTGAAGTACAAGAAAATCTGATATCCAAAATACTCTGGTCCAAGCAGATACTAGAAGACGATGGCATGCACATGGGATATTGGCCTTGTAATGACCGTACTATATCCATGTAACAAATTCTAACACTACACAGAAATATTATTTTACATAATATTGCATTAATTAAGTAAATGTATTAAATACATTTTGTATTACTTAACCTGTTTCTTGGGGTGGGGAGTGAGCATTGAGAATTGAACCCAGGATCTTCAGGGTTTTGAAGCAAGTGTTCTATCTTATCCAGAGCCCCTTGAAGAATCTTTTAAAGAATAGAAAAAGAAAGTAAAACAAAACCAAAACATCTCAACTAATAAAATCAAGTAATGCCTCGGGCTAGACCTCCTGAAGACAGACTGGAGTGTGAGGAACTTGGAAATGTCACCCTCCTCAATGGCTGCATGCTTTTTCACCTAGTGTAGCCTGCCAGCACTCACCAGACAATAAGCTTTTAGAAAACTTCTAAGCAAAAATTTGAAACAAACACTGGTGTAGAGCACTCTCAAGAAGAGCAGGGAAACTGGGGCAAGGATCTAGCATAAGGGTTGACTCAAACAGAAAAGTAACTTTCTAAAATTATATGGATAATACAATATTAAACCTGTATGTGCATGTGTGTGTAGCTGTGCATATAAGTATATTTGTGTGTATAACTGTGTACATTATTAAAGTAAATGTATTAAATAAATTTTGTATTACTTAATCCTAACACACGCACAGTGCTAGGGATGGAACCCACAGCCTGTGCAAGCCACACTGTCCCTAAACTATACCCCAAGCCCCAATGTTAAAGTTTTCATAGGCCTTTTTGTATATATAAAGCAGAAAAAAATTTCTGAACTAATATCTTTAGAAAAACGTAGTGGTTAAAAAGATATATAAAACAAAAGCAAAGACTTAAAAACAAGAAAAAGAGGATAACTATTGCAGGCAAATATGAGATGACAAATTGAACAAACTTTTAAAACTTAATGTCAGAAAGAAAGTAATTTAAATGAAGTATACTAAATCACTGTGTGCTCAATTACAAAGAACATTCATGAAGATCTGCCAGGGAACAAAGAAGATCAGATCTACACAAAGCCATCAGAGCACCATCTGCCAAGTGACCCAAACATACCATACAATACTTTAATTGTTAAAGGCCAAAACAAACCCCAACAGCAATTCCTAAGGCAGAGACCAACCAGGCTTTCTGAAAGATCATGCTCAGAGATGATGCCTACAAAGCATCCCGGGAAGATGAGCACCATGAGGTTACTGAAGTCCTACAGGTGAGCACTGCTCTGTAGACAGCAAGGCCGTGAGAACAAAGGCCTTATGCACACTAGGCAGCTGCTCAGCCTATTAGCTATGCATCCAGCCCTACACATCTCTGCTTCTCATTCAGAGAACCAATGTAACAATAGGTATCACCCAGTTAAAATAAGTTATTAGTCTTAGTAAATATAGTCATATTGTGAGGCACTTCAAAGTAATTACTGGCTCTCCCAATGAGTCTAGGAAATAGGAGCTACATTAAATATACCCAAACCCTGGGGCAAGAGACTAGCTTAAGCATATGCAGAAAGGGTGCAGATTACATAGATAGAAATATAATACACAAAATCCTAGTTAACAAGTGTTCTTCGTTTACAGACTGCCCACAGACTAGTGCCCAATGACTGGCTAAAAGCCTAGCACTTTACAGATTCATCCGTGGGGTATTTCTCTGAGGGCAAATTAAAATCAGCAGCAGTGACAACTCAACACAAAGTGCTTTAACTGAAGGAGGGCCTGGTGACACCTGGGGAGGGGACAGGTGGGAGGAGGGAGATGTGCAAGTTGTTACAGGAAATGAAGTTGCAAGAGTCACTCACATGAACACCAGAGCTCTTGAAGTTACTTTTCAAAAGGAGCTGGGAGAGTCAGCAGCAGCCTGCTAGAGGAGTTTGACAATCACAGGCTTGAGAGCACTGGAATACAGAAGTCCAGAGCAAGACTGCAGCAGCAGTTTCCCAGCCAGGAAACAGAGTGACCAGAATCCCACTCACATCCTTACTCCATTCCTGACCTCATATTCAGGGTTAGGGCTGTCCCTTCAGGTGCTCCTGAATCCAGAAGGAAAAACAGTGTGTGTTGGGGGTGTAGGCAGGTGTAAGGGAAGTTAACTCACTAAAGCTCTCTATCAGATAACAGAGCTCACTGAGCTAGTGACAAAATGGGGTCAAGAGTAGACAAAAAGTCACCCAGGGAGCAGCAAGTCTTGTGCCTCCTGGCATTTAGCACTAGGCAATACAGAGCTAAGTGAAACAACGGTCCTTTCACATTCACCATTATAGTTTCAAAACAATTTTCCTGAATAGACTATATTATAACATCATGGAAAACTAACTTTATGAAAATTATATTATTTTGTTTGTTTGGTGTGGTCAAGATAGGGTTTCTCTGTGTAGCTTTGGAGCATGTCCTAGCACTCACTCTGTAGACCAGGCTGGCCTTGAACTTACAGATATCTGCCTGCCTCTGCCTCCCAAGAGCTGGGATTAAAGACATGTACCACCACCGCCCAGTCCAAAAATTATATTCTTAAAAACAAAAAACTGCAAGCAGTAATATTCTCATCTTATTAATGAAGAAGGGCTGGGCGCAAAACTCATTGGTGAAGTGCTTGCCTGGAATGTATAGGGTTCACTGTTCATTCAGTTATAAAAAAAAAAGGAGAGAAAAATGGGATTTTGTTCAAGTTTTTTCTTTTTTGTATGAACCCTCTGTCTGTGTGCCTGCATGAAAGAAGAGGACGTCAGATCCCATTACAGATGGTTGTGAACCACCATGTGGTCGCTGGGAATTGAACTCAGGACCTCTAGAAGCATAGCCAGTGATCTTCAATGCTGAGCTATCTCTCTAGCCCCAGGAACTTAAGTTTACTTGGACAGAAAACCAGAATGCTTTTCAAGTACTAAAAAAACCAAATTACCCCCATTATCAAGTGACTTTTTGGTCACATACAACAAAGCACAGATGAGTCATGACAGGAGTACACTGTCAATATGAAAGTGCCAAGTCACAGCAAGAACCCAGGAAGTCACTCAGGAGGCAGAGGCAGGCAGATCTCTGTGAGTTCGAGGCCAGCCTGATCTACAAAGTAACTGAAAGAAACCCTGTCTCAAAAAAAAAAAAAAAAAAAAAAAAAATTCAGAAAACTTACAGGGAACAAAGTTAATTCAAACATTACTATTGTCATGAGATTCTACTCTGAAATCTTCACCAGAGATAATGAACCCAAGAGACAGTAAGGAATTACTAAGACATAGTCAAGGGCAATAGTGTCAGTCCCACACACCAGCCTCACCATCACACTGAGACACTGTCGCTCTCTGCTGACCCAATTAACTCTCACACTGACCACTTAAATACAACACAAATCACAAAACCTGGCAAGCTAACTTGGTAGATGCTCAATGCTAGCAGTATCCATAGATGTGGAGCTGAGGAGCCCACAGACATCAGCCATTTATAAAACAGGTAGAGTGCAGCACCATGGTTAAGAAGCATATACGCTTTTGTAAGTAGATCCTTTTTAAAGTGGAAGGCCAGAACTGTCTCTTCTCTAACATATACAACAGAAACCTGAAATTCCAAGCCCTACCATACATATCACTTGGCCACTTCCAACCAAGAAGGATTAGATGACATACATGCCTATGCATTCCTAGCATTTCAGAGGTGGAGGCAGGAGGGTAAAAAATCCAAGGTCACCCTCAACTATACTATCTATGAGCCAGCCGGGCTACATGAGACATTGTCTCAAAAATCCAAACCCCAAATCCCCAACTCCCAAACCAACCAAACAAAAATATGTCCTCAGAAAACACCACTTTATTGGAAATCTGAGCACAAGTAACAAACTGAACTGGTCAGCTTCATGTGCCTGTCTCAGTCACAACTCATCATCCCTACCCATCTTCTACCAACTGCTCTGAGTGTTTTGGGTAGGTGAGACTGGGATAAGTCTAATTTCAAAATCAACACACAATCACTTAGTTCATTTTGCTAATGGTTCATTGTCAATTTTTGTATCACTTCCGGAGAGGGAAGAAGGCAATGCCACAACCACAAAACATCCCCCCCCCCACACACACCACTTTGGTTTGGAGGAAAAACCAGTAATGTGGAAGGCATTTAACCACTAACAGGAAACACTACCATATGGGCAAAGTTTTCTTCATCACAGGACTCCTCCTTTGTCCTTTAAGAATGATTGAGGTAACACATGTGCTTACATCAGCTCCCTTTTTATCCTTAACAAAGAGCTGATCACTAGGTTTTAAAGCAAATCAGGGAATCACAGGCTCAGACTATATTTGGAAAACAGAACTCCATTTTGAGACTTACTTTGGAGAAATGGAGCATGTTATTTAAAAGATTTTCTAGCTGTGCATAGTTTCCTTTCTCCTTAGAAGTAAACTTATTTTATTTTAAACACCCATCTGTGTGTGCACACAGATATATTGGCACACATGTGATGGTCCAAAGACAACCTGAAGCAGTTAATTCTTCTACCACACACAGAAAAAGCCTGTCTCAATGATCCCTCCATCCCAATTTAACATGTATCATTTTCACTCCTGTTTCCATCTATATTTCCCCTTCTAAGTAACTGATTTTATTAATATTTCTATTTTTCCTTTATGCAAACAAATAAAACATTATTATGTATTCTTCCTTTGTTTATTACATAAGTTACGGTACCAGCCTGTTACAGTGGTATACACCTATAATTCAGAAGCATAAGGATGATGCATTTGAGGCCAGTTTGAGCTACACCCTGAAGGTACCAAATACAATGCTATTTATACTTAACTTGAATATGTTCTGGGGTCTTTCCATCAATAGAATCCTTCATTTCTTATAGTTGTAAATTACTCTTAATAGTTGAATGAACTAATTTATTCAGCTAGTTCTTTAATGGTGATCTTTTTTCCTTCCTTCCTTCCTTCCTTCCTTCCTTCCTTCCTTCCTTCCTTCCTTCCTTCCTTCCTTCCTTCCTTCCTTTCTTTCTTTTGAGGCAGGGTTTCTCTGTGTAATACTCCTGGCTGTCCTGGAAATTACTCTGTAGATAAGGCTGGCTTCGAACTTGGAGCTCTTCTTGCTCTGCCTCCCGAATGCTGGGATTAAAGATGTGTACCACCACACCTGGCTGTCAATGTTTCTTATCTTCTCATGTCACAAATATAATGTTGCAACAGGCTTGCCTCCTTCCTCCTTTCACCAACAGTC